GCCAACAGCAAAGGGTCTCAAGGTGAAGTCAGTGAATAAACCATCAAAAATGTCATTTACAAATACTGCACTTCAACAGAGCAAATGTGTTCGAATTAATGCTAGAGAGATCCAGACACTTTGCAAATACAGACACCTAACCATGAGGCAGCTGAGTACAGGCCTTTTCTGCAGAACATTTACTTACTTTAAAGCCTGAAATGCTGGAGTACAGACACGAGACCACTTGGAACACAAAATGAACTTCACATTTTAAACAAAATCATCTGAAAAATTCAGTTTACTTAATTCTGAGAAAATCATCCAAATAAGTGACTGTATTAGTCGTCTTTGGTGCAAACAGAATTAGTTTTAAATTATTTTTTTACAAAATCTCCCTCTATGCTCAAGAGGTGTTTGCACAAATAAGGAATTGAGAGCAATTACCCACATACAGTGCTACCTCCAGTATTAACGTCTATTCATCTGACTGACAGGTTTTCCTACCAATCTCAAAATTTGCAACTAGGTGACGATGACAATACAGAATTAGCCACTTTCAAGATTTTCCTACTTGGCCTAATTCTAGAAAAATTCATCCAAATACTTAACTTCAGTGTAACAAAAGACTCATTTATTAACCATGTAAGATGTATTAATATACCCATTGATTATCTACATACACTAAAGGCATTACTATTATTTACAGGGCAGGAATCTAGTTCTGTTTTTGCAAGTCTTCTGGTGAGCAACAAGGGAGAAAACAATTTATTTTTTTTTTTAAAGAGAAAAAATTATTGATTGCAGTTTCATAACAGCTGGTGAGGGGAGTTAGAGTCCAATATAATCACTCAATCTAACTTCCATTTTTTACTTTCTTTACAAAATGAACCAAATTTCAAATTAAGGTAATTCAGTTAAGACAGTCCTACAAGTGAAAGGCAGCTGTTCACTGCAAGACAGACAGTGCACAATACAGTATTTAAATAAAGTAGTACTTTAAAGCATACCAAAGACAAAAGCGAATGGATTAATCGCTGGAGCTCATTATTACTGGAAAGTTTTATCCAAAAATCTATGAAACTGGAGCTATATATTTTGTTCTGATTGCATACATATGAAAAGAAAGATCTACCCTCTTGGAAACTAACTGTCCTGCTTTATTGATGCTTAGTGTAACTTAGTCACAAAATGACCTGTATAGTTAGGATGCTGTGAAAAAGAAAAGAAAAATACCTAGCAGCTCTGCTTGTAGGAATTCCAAGATAGTGCATGGCCTCACTACACAAAAATTCTCGCACAGAAGAGCGAAGCACAGCTCTTCCATCGCCGTTCCTATGGAGGACAGACAAATAAGGAATAGGTCATAAAATCCAAGCAAATTTCAAAAAGAAAACATCCGGTTTGGTGTACATAGCTTAACTGCAACTTACCTGGAGTATGGGGTCTTTCCTGACCCTTTTAACTGTAGTTCCCACCTCTCACCATGCCTGCAAAAACACCATTAGCATTTCTAACAGTACATTGGGCTATGCATGAATCAGCTAAACAGAATACAAAGTTGAATCAGTCAATTAAAAAAATGTCACACCTGTTTGTATATACTCCGATCAAGTGGGCTCTTCCATCACCCAACTGACCCGCCCAGCTACCAAACTGACAAAAATGAAAATCAAGTTATTTTCTTCTATCATTTATAGCAGTTATACTTGAAACAGTACAAATTACAGGTAGGTTCACTGTGATCTACACAATATAATGACACATTTGCTCAGGTAGTCATTAAGATATTGATCCCTAAAGCTGTATTACCACACTCACACCAATAATGAATTAGAAAACCACCGAAAAAGAATAATGCCAGTAATACCCATTTCTTTTCCTCTACCTTCCAGCTATAACATACAGCTACAGCCCTGGCTCTTTTGTATAATGAGTCTTTAAACTGACACAGCTTGTAATTTTTTTTTAAATTGGAAATTACAAATCAAATTCTACCATTCTTTTCCATGACTAACCTTGCACATTTCAATATCAAACTTAACTTTTAGTAATCATGATACTGCAGTGAGGCTCTGTCCTTTTTCACTCCTCTCAGCTGATAATACCTATCATGAATCAGAGTGTCAGGCTGCAGGGGTGCTAAGCAGACTCTGCAGCTAACAGAAGTTTAAAAGATAATTTGCTTCTGGCATAAACAGAAGCAGAGAAAGTAAACATGGTACCGTAAAGGAATATCACAGTTCTCTTCCATCTACAGCCCCTAATGAAGAACAAATCTGTAATCAAAATGTTCGTAAGTGTTCATATACTTACAGGCATATACTCACACATTCACAGGTATTATCAAGGCGATAATACCTTTTCACATGAAAAGACCTACATAATTCCACCTGGAATAACAGGAGTTATCGTTACCTGATGACCCCCATATCTATGGGCCAATGGAATAGACCCAAGTATCACTTTCCCACCACTGACGAACTGAAGAAAATCAGATGTTCCTTTGACAGATATATCAAGATCCAAAATATTTTCAAGAACGTCCTGGAGAAAAAAAGAATACAGATGGTACCTGAATATGATCAAATTTTCAGTGGTAATGAATGTGTTTTCTCTACAGATTTCATTATTAAAAGACATCTCATGATATGTTTTAAATGTTCTATTTGTTTAAAGTACATATTGATGCTTTCACAATAAATAGCATATGAATATTAAAATATGTTTTAGTACATGTATTAACAATCTCTACTAATTAGAGAGGAACAAAAAAATAATAGCCAACCTTTGAAACAGCTACAAGGTGAACTCTAGATTTAAAAGGTGTAGGATAGGCAATTGAAAAAATGCAGTTTCTCACATTACGGACATAATTTTCCTGGATTGCATCAATTGGAAAAGGATCTGTAGACATGAAACACACAAGAAATGTTTTTAAAAAAACAATTAATCATATTATTCTTAATACCTTTCCTCTTAAATCAAATCAAAATACTTCAAAAACAATTAAAACTGAGTCTTTACCACAATATATATTAAGCATGCATGAAAAGCAAGCCCAAATAAAATCAAGATTTTATTCTGTTTGGGATTTTTGAAAAGAAGGATCAAATTCTGCAGTTAAAGAAACCAGTAGGGCATGCTAGTTTTAAGATCCAAAACACATTTATGCTTAGTTTCAATTAACTGTGATTAGAACAGTCTCAGAGCAGTTTTATATGGCAGTCAGTTATATGCAACCCTAAAAGATATTTGCATGAGACAGAAAAGTTCAGCTGCCCTCACAGCTGAACGATGTAGTGCAACAGATGAAGTCACTGTGCACCAGAAACTGTGGTATACAGTCCATATGCAGTGATGATCACCAAGTAACCTAAGAAACCAGCTTGAAGCCTTCTCTGAGTAATCTAAACAGCGAATGAAAGGGTCAGAAAATGCATTTCTTGCTGTAGCATAACATATGTACCCAAAAGATGTGTTTCATTCTTCTTTCAGAGCTACTCTGCACCCTGATCCATGCTAACACAGGACAAATATTGTTTTAAAACACTGCATTAATACTGTGTGTTTTAACATCTTTATGGATTTTTGCTTGCAAAAATATTACAGTTCCATATTAATTATAAAATCCCAGTACCTCATAGTCACTGTTTTGTAAAAATTACAAGTTAGTTAGCATCTCTGGAGACTTATTATTAGACATGTTTCTCAATACCGCTAAGTGACAAACCCCGTTACAGCCAGCTGCCACAAGATTTATCACCGATTACAATTTCTTAATGCTCACCAGTAATTCTATCACCCGAAGAAATTATTTTTGCAATGTTATCATATAAATTATCTTTATTATTACAGGCAATTCTGTATGCCTGAGAGCTATACTGAGTCAAGCCAGGTGTCAGGCTATCAATTTTACATTAACACATAATTGGGACTCACACACCTCTCCATTACTATTAATTGCCATTTCAAAAAAAAAAAAAAGGGGGGAAAAAGCTCCTTGTGGGCAATCTATTTTTAATTTTTAAAATTAGTATTTAGAATTGTCTAGGCTGGAAGGGACTGGAAGAGACCTTTAAGATCATCAAGTCCAACCATCAACCTAACATTGCCAAGTCCACCACTAAACCATGTCCCCAAGCAACACATCTACACGTCTTTTAAATACTTCCAGGGATAGAGACTCCACCACTTCCCTGGGCAGCCTATTCCAATGCTTAACAACCT